TTTTTTTTTTTTCTTCCTTTTTTTTAATTCGAAAGAACTGTTTTCTTCCCGGGAACAGGAATGTCAGTTTCGGACGCAGCGATCGAAGGAAGCGAACGGGACTCGGAGAACAGGAAAGAAGAACTCGGGATGAAAAAATGAAGTACAATTTATTAATGATGCCATTCTCGACATTCGGTGCACCATCGCGAGCATGATCGGAAACAATCGTGTTAGCACGCTTGGTTACAGCCGTTGCGGACAGGGGGCGACTCCATCGCCTGCTTGTCTCCTTTCCGCTCCCCATGTATATAAATATCTCGTAATTAAAATATAGATATGAATATTCGTGTCATTTGTATATATACATATATATCTGTACAACCCGAGCATACCGGTCTACAAAATAATCCTCCATCTAGTCGCTAAACTTCTCTCTTTCGAGTCGAATCGATCGATCAACCCCTCGCGGTCCGCCATTTTCTTCCTCTATTAAATCGAGGTTAAGTTCAGCAAGTTTCTTTCTCCTTTTTTTTTTTTTAAATTTACGTCGTTTGAAGTCGCGTGCGTGGGTTATTGGCGAATTGAAACCAAGTCTTTGCAATTTATTTATACATATAAGTAAAAGAAGAGAAAAAAAATTAAGATCCAAGATTCGGTCCGCAAGAGGTTAAAGAATCGAACGAGCACCTGGTCTCATATCTTCGAACGAGCAGAGCAAAAAGAAGAGGAAAGAAGAAATGCAATTTGGACGAAATTCGAAAAGCACGCTGGCTAGTTGAACGTCGTTCTATCTCTCTGTGATATGTCAGTTCTTGAAACCGAAGCGTTCAAGAAGTCAGAGGGAAGGAGAAAGAGAAGATTGAACGTATCACAGAAGCAAAATAGCAATGTAAAATACTGAGGTTACCGAAACGAAACTGAAATTTCAACGACACTAAGATCATTGACCCTCGAGAGAGATCGTTGATCGTACCAGAAAAATACTTTTCTCTCTCTCTTCGGACGAGGGAAACTTTCGTCCCTTGTAAGTCGACGAGGCTGCAGGAATTGGTAACCAAGGACGGAGCGGACTGTGTTTTTCGATTCAAACGCAAGGCAGACTAGAAAAAACCGAGGCGAAAGTTTCCACTCGTCGAACCGTTTCGTCTTGGAAAGGGTTCTCTTCCTCTTCGAGATTCCAAAGTCCAAAATTTTCAACCCATTCATTTCAA